TAGCTTTGGTCACAAATTTGTATATAAGATTCATTGTGAAATTTAACATACTAACAAGGAAGTCTAAATATCCAACAATAGAGAACAAGTTAAAGCCACTGAAATATGCAGAGGTGTGTTTATTGACATGAAAAGATGATTATGATATATTGTTAATTTAAAAGGTAACAAAGTTAAGTACAATATTTTACTAATTCTGTAAGTACATGTATTCATAGAAAAGGTCTGGAATAATCTCAAATATTTGTAGGTTATTTCTGTATGGAAAGATTATAGTTGAGTCTTACTTTCCCATTTTATGTATTTTTTACATAATTAGGCATTTAATCATTTAAAAAAATCCACTTGGGTATTATTTATATAATAATAATTCCTTAATCCATCCTGTCTCATGTCTTATCATTTTTCATATCCTCTTAGCCCAGTTTTCCCTCTACAGCTTTATTTTCAGGTATGGGAAACCACGTTTCGTTTCTCATCCTGGATATAACCATTTCCACACAATTTTTTTTTTTTGACTGGTAAGGGGAATGTAACCCTTGGCTTGGTGTTGTCAGCACCACGCTCAGCCAGTGAGCGAACCGGCCATCCCTATATAGGATCCGAACCCACGGCCTCGGTGCTATTAGCACCACACTCTCCCAAGTGAGCCACAGGGCCGGCCCTCCACAAAAGCTTTTGCAGATGTCTATTATACTTATTTTTCTGGTTTGACAAATATGTAGTATGTGCCTGCTATTCACTACCCAGGCCCTGATTTAGGCATTGGGAATAAAAACTACCTCAGCGTGGTTAAAACCACCAGCTTCCTTGCTTGGTACCCATTCTGCCACTTAATAACTGTGTGACTTAGGCAGGTTATTTAACCTCCCCTTTTGAAAGCAAATATTTAATGAGCTCCTCCTACATATTAGGTGCTGGAGATACAGTATTGAACAAAACAAGTACCTGTTGATGAAGCTTAATGGGGACAGATGGATGCTAAATATAAGCCAAGTAGTGCTAAGTGCTATCAAAATAATGCAGGAGAAGGAAAATAAAGAATGACAGGGCAGATATGGTATTTTAGAAAGAGTCAAGGAATGTATCTCTAATGAGATGATATTTGAGGAGAGACCAGAAGGAAGTGAGCCAGCCAGCTATGAGATTGTGTATGGGGAAGACAGATTCAGAAGAGGCAGTGGTGTGCTGGCACTGGCTTGCACTTGTTCTGATTGCATGTATCTCTTCCTAGCACCGTGTTAAGTCAAATTGGTAGCTTGAAATCAGCCTTGATGAGAGTATCTACACAGAGGTATCTGAAAATGCTACAAATCAGGGTTTTTTACAATCTGGGAAGAGGGAATAGTAAGTACAAAGGCCCTGAGGTAGAAGCATGCTTGGCCATTTTGCCATGCTTGATAGGCAGCCAGAGTGGCTAGAACAGAGCGAGAGAGAAATAATAGGAGATGAGGTCAGAGGTAGCCAGGAGTTACATCAATAGGCCATGGTAAATACACTGGACATTATTCTAAGTGAAATGGGGCCATTAGAAGGTTTTGAGCAGTTTGAGTGACACCATCTGACTTAAGTTTTGAATAAGACCACATAAGGGAGGAATCAAGAAGACCAGTTGGGAGACTTCAGCAATAATCTAGGTAAGAGATGGTGGCTTGGTAATGGTGGAGGTAGTAAGAAGAGTACCTTTAATTTCTTCCTTTTTTCAGATGTCATGAGGATTAAATAAGATAACATTTCAAAAGTGCTTAGCATAGTGTCTGGCACACAGGAGGCCCTTCATAAATGATAGCTGCTATATTATTGTTGACAGAATGCCAACCCTGGGGGTGGGGAGGCAGTGTTCATATCTAGTTAGGAAGACAAATAATTTCAGTACCAAGAGAGAAGTGCTATGTTCAAGAGAAGTGGACGCATAGAGGAGAAACACTTAGCCCAGCTGGGGGTAGGAAAGACCAGGAAGGGTGCTGGAGCAAAGGGGACTGGCTTAGCAAAGACACGTGGATGGGGAATTGGAGGGAGAACTGCCGCAAGTGTCCACACCTCTTAATTCAGGTGATAATCAGACCACAGCTTTATCCTTTAGCTGAGCAAAATAATTAGTGATTTGAAGGAACAGTGATGATTTAATTACTCAGTGTTAATTAAGCCACCTTACAAGCTATGGATCATTATGTTCCAATTCAAATTCACTTGGTAATTTTATGAATTCCACAGAGCCGTTGATTCTGATCAGCAGTCAGATATAAAAACTCAAGCTGGTAAGAACTTTATAGAACTTGCTATGAAAATAGGGGTTCTTAATCTGGGGCCCAACCACGACCTTTGAAAAATCTGTGAGTCTCTTGAAGACAGTAGAATTGTGTGTGTGCTCATGAATTTGGGGGTAGTCATGGGACAGAAGGGGTACATAGCTTTTCTTTCTTTCTCAGAGAGGTTTGCCACCCAAAGATTAAGAACACTGCTACCGAGATTAATATTAGAGGGTAAAATAAAATCAGTCCAGAAGAACAGGCACATTTTTGTCTGCCATTCTGTTTATCATTAAAATAATTTGATAAAGTGATATCCTAAAACACATGAAATCAATTAAAACACTTCATTTAAAAATGGTTACTTACAATAAGGCCTTTATCATTTTATTCAAATATCAACTGTCATTTTGGGCCCAGTGAATATTTATTCCAGCTTAGAATTTCCACTTTGCCAATCTCTGAAGATAAATGAGCTATAGTATTATAAAAAAAGCTTACGGGGCCGGCCCGGTGGCGCACTGCTACAGTGCGCCGCTTGGGAGTGCGGCGGCGCTCCCGCCAAGGGTTCGGATCCCACATACAGACCGGCCGCTCACTGGCTGAGCGAGGTGCGAGTGCAACACCGAGGGTTGCGATCCCGTTGCTGGTCCCGGTCCGGTACGGGTGCAACACTGAGGGTTGCGATCCATTGCCGGTCACGAAAAAAGACAAAAAGGAAAAAAAAAAGAAAAAAAAGCTTACAAGCAAAATTTGCTCTGTTGATGATTCCCTTTGAAAATGTTTTCTGCCTCTGATTCTTCCATTGTTATTTATTTCCTATTGATTCCTAAATTCCCCTCATGTGCTGCCGAGTCTCTAACAAGTACCCACTAAGGGCTTCTTCAAAGCCAAAGAAATAGGAGATGTTTGCTGATATTTTACTTTAAAAGGAGGATTAATAGAAGTTAATTGTTCTGGCCATCTTCCAGAGACTTCTGTGAACTCACCTTCTTCTAGTCACATGTGGATGGTGATAATTTACCCACCTAACCACTTCTGTCTGACATGGGAAGTGATGTGAGTACTGCGTGGGTCGTAATAGTTCCCATTTCTTGAGCACTATGATCCCAATACCTTGTTATAAGCATATTATGTATATTATCTCACTGAATCCTTGCAATGCCTGAAATACGGATTTTATCCCCATTTTACAGATACCAAACTAGACTCTGACATATTAATTAACTAACTTGCCCCAGATCACACAGCCAGTGAGCAGCACAACCAGTAAGTAGAAGATTGGAAAGTAAGATGTACTATTAAGGACAAATAAGCTGCCGAAAGAAGAGCATCCCTCTTCCTCGTACCATTGCCAGTGTTCATGACAAGGCATTTTTTGGTGCTGCTGTATCAGGAACCACATCAGAACAATGGATGAGAAAAGTAGTCTAGGAATTGATGATTACTGAAAAGGGTTGTGAGAAATTAATTCACCTAGTTAATTTACCTATCTCAATATATTTTTAAAATAGTGATGGAGGAAAACAGTTAAATTTATTTGAGTATTGACCATGAGCGAAGCACAGTGTGTCGCTTTGCTCATGGTCAGTGCTCAATTTATATTATTGCACTGAATCCTCATCACAAGCGTCCTGAGGAAGGCATTACTATCCCTGCTTTACACACAAGGAAGCTAAAGCTCAGAGAAGTTGCATAATGTTCCCAAAGTCACAAAGATTGTAGGACAGTATGATATGAGCCGAGATCAGCCTTCAAAGACTATTTACTTTCTGCTCTATCATACTGTAAAATTCACTCTAAAAGCTATTTACCTATTAGGTACTCAAGAAATGTTTGTGGGCTGATGACCCATCACGGTGAGTTAAAAAAATAGAGTATCAAAGGCGCAAAGAAGTATCTTATTTTCAGATATGAAAAGAAGTACCTTCACATTCCTCATAGGATACTGCTGTTCCTCGAAAGCAAAATTATAGAAAATCTTTTTTTTTTTTTTTTTGTCTTTTTGTCTTTTTCTGTGTCCGGCAACGGATCGCAACCCTCAGTGTTGCCCCCGTACCGGACCGGGGACTGGCAACGGGATCGCAACCCTCGGCGTTGCTCCCGCGCCTCGCTCAGCCAGTGAGCGGGAACCGGTCTGTATGTGGGATCCGAACCCTCGGGTGGGAGCGCCGCCGCGCTTCCCAAGCGGCGCACTATCCAGTGCGCCACCGGGCCGGCCCATAGAAAATCTTTTTAATAAGTTCATATATGTGGTTCAGAGGTTAAAACCTATACATATTACACAAAGGTTCCAGAAAATGCACCTGTGTATTACAACTGCGTGATATTGACATTTTCAGGATGGACAACCACGAATAGATTAGTCTTGGTAATGAAAAAGCAGCTTAGTATTTTAGAAATCTCTATGATATACAACATAGTCAAAACCCAACAATTGTACATCATTTTAATGTATAAAAGGTGTGTAAGAAAATACTCAGGCACGTGTGTAAATGCTTAGACACGTGGCCTGACCTCTTCATGGTCCATGTAGGTATTTTTTGGTTCATGGCTGATACCTCTTCCTCAGCACACCCAGGCTGCTTAAGTGTGTCGAGCTGAGAAGTGGTGCTGTCTGCCGAGGTTTCCTGATGATGGCATTGCCCTAATATTCCAGCGTCACCGTCTTGGTTTTGAGGTATTCATTTAGAGCTTCCTCACCTAGAGAAGAGAGAAGCAGTTGACAGACCATGTTTAAAGGTGGATGTAATGTCATCAGACTTTCAGCCATAGGTGTAGGTGTGTAAGTCACTAAATGGAATGTGGCCTGAGCCAGTGTTTATCACACTTTAAAGTTCACATGAATCACCCAAGGACTTTGTTAAACTGCAGTATCTGATTCAGTTAAGTCTGGTGTAGACCCTGATGCTGATGCCAGTGGTTGGTGGACCACACTTTGAGTAGTAAGGGTCTAAACCTAGCTGCCAGGCCTTCTAAGGATCAGAGAGTGTTGGCTGGTTAGCTTCAAACCAAAATCTTCCTCCTTTACTTCCGTACTTGATGACAAACCCCATCTTTATCCTTTGTTCATTTAGGCTGAACAAAAGTGACCAGAACACTGTCCTTCACGTTATATTAAATGAAGTAGAATTGAGCACAGGAAAGAAAGTTTGAGATCATTTGGTTTGATCTTATTTTAATGATAAGGAAAATGCAGCTTATATTGTATGTTAGAAACACAGGAAGAGCATGTCTAGGTGAAAAACAGGTGGGTCTTCCATGGTTTCTATTTTGAGCTACTGCAATCATTGATCTCCACAGGGCAATGAATTAAAGGGCAGTGAATATCCTGGTGAAACTCATGAGTATATGATTCTGGAAGTTGAGCTAAAACAATGGCTGTCAATCTTGTCCCAACATTAGAATCACCCAGGGAGCTTTTCAAACTCCTGATCTCAGGTCACACCCCTGACCAATTATAACAGTGTCTCTATATTTTTTTGAAGTTCCCATGTGATTCTAATCCAATGTGCAGCTAAGGCTGAGAACCATGAGCTCTAAGGGGTTTTAAACTTAGGGGAGGAAGAAACTATTAGCAAACTCTAGTCTTTTACAGTAAAACAGACACAAAGCCAGTGATTATACTGTATCAAAAGATAAGTGAAACACAGTTGCCTCACTTTCTAATAACACATTCCCTAAGAGAGTCTCCCACTGTGTTTCGGATTGCGGGATGAAAGCTAGATTGAAGACAAGAAGAAAAATAAAGCCTTAACCTTCAACCTAATGAAATTTAAAATCAGCACTACTTTTATTGCTGCAAATACATTGCCAAAAGTCATCAGGAAAGAGAAAATGTAAAAAATACCCTAAATGAACCAAACTTACATTAGCAAACTGTAATTTCAGTAAATCACTAACATTCGAGTTTTTGAAACAACATGCCAGACTGACTGTAGGGTGTAGGAGACGGGCTGCAAAGCCATAAGGCCTGGCTTTGAGTTCTCTCTGCCAGTGCCTGGCCATGTGACTTTGGGCAACTCACCCAACCTCTCTGAGTCCCATTTAACTGGTCTGTACAATAAGATAATAATAGTACTTCTCTCCCAGGGCTATTGTGAGGATTGCTTGTGCTCATACAGGTAAAGTAGTTAGAATAGGGCCTGACATGTATTTAGTCTTCAAAGTAAGCTATGGCTTGGAAGTTGTTAGCGCCACTGCCCACAGTGAATTGCATTTGGGACTTTTTACAAACTAAATCTGAATTCCTAGACTCCCAACAACCACTGCCAGTTGCAGTGTTGACTCTGAAAAACTGCCAAGCAGCTCAGAGACAGGGTTTATTCTTAGAGCTAGCTGGTTATTACCCTCCACCAATTTTCCTTTCTTGGTTCTGTTTAGTCCCATGAAAGCTAAACCAAGTTCATGCTGAATGTCAGATTAAAAAACCAAACATATTTTAGCTAAAATATATTGTCAGTTTCTTTTCCCTTTCAACACGAATTTTCTTTTAAAAAGAAACACTGTTCCACATAATTTGTGTACTTTTCTGTATGTATGTTATGTTCAATAAAAATGTTTAGCATTTTTAAAAAATTAGTACCCTTGTAAATGCAGATCTAACTGCCACATAGGAAACGTCCTTCAAAACAATATGCGAGTGTTGCATGAAATACAAAGCAGATTATTCTGTGAGGTGGCAACAAAGGGAAGGTGCAGGAGAAAGGCAGAGCCGTACCTAAATCTTTTCCAAAGCCAGATTGCTTAACTCCGCCAAACGGGGCCGCCACATCGGTCTTGTTGTATGTGTTAATAAAAACAGTTCCTGCTTCTAGTTTTTCACTCACATACATAGCTTTGTTTATGTCTCTTGTAAAAACCCCTGAGGCCAAACCATACTCTGTATTATTTGCTCGCTGCAATACTCCATCGATATCCCTGCAAGATGTTTTTAGGAAGACATAAAACTTCGTTAAGTGTAAAGCAAGACACTCTTTTAGGTTCTAGATCTTTCCCCCTCTGCTAGAAATAGGAAAACATTACTGCTACCTGCTTACATTTTTATAAATGACACTCCATCGATATCCCTGCAAGATGTTTTTAGGAAGACATAAAACTTCGTTAAGTGTAAAGCAAGACACTCTTTTAGGTTCTAGAACTTTCCCCCTCTGCTAGAAATAGGAAAACATTACTGCTACCTGCTTACATTTTTATAAATGAAACATTCCAGGCTTACACCGAAAGTCCCAGTGAAATATTACAACCTAGTATTATATGTTTCATATATTTCATGCAACACCTTTGAAAATCTGATCTGCAGTCACCTTTTCAATCTCCCTGTTTCTTCCTCTCCCCCTTGAGTCACACTTCAAGATATATTCTTGGAGTATCCCCCCTATTTCCTTCCATCTCCACATTTTGCACACACAGTCCAAGGTTCCTTCAGTGCCTCTCTGAAGCCTTTTCAGATTCTACCAGTGCCACCGCAGAGGTGGCAGAGCATGGAGGTTCAGTGAGAGGCTCTGCAGCCAGACTGCCTGGGCACCCTGGGCAGATGCCTTCGTCTCCCCATGCCTTCATTTATCCCTATGACAAATGGGAATAATAATACCTGTCTAATTGTCATGAGGATGAAAATGAGCTATTAGTGCCCGGAACACAGTAAATGCTCAAGAAAATTCACCTATAATCAGGGAGCTCATGTAAGTAAGTATTTTGGTAGAACCAACGATGCAGTGCTGATTTAACTCATCACGTATTTATGGTTCACCTTCTATAAATGGGAGGATGGAAAATCCCCAAGGGGAGGGATAATGTCTTTTATACTTCTTTATACCATGGTGTCGCATCATCAAATGAAAGTGAATTCAATTACATGTGCTTATTCAATCAAATGGATCTGGTAATTTCTCTGCCATTTGACTTAGTATGTGTACACGCCCAAGTAAGTGGAGACATGAACCTGCTCTTCTTTCAGCTGAGTCCAGTTCCAGTGTGCCTGTCATAGTGGATCTCACCTTTTTGTCTGATTTGTTTTTTTCAGCTTCTCATTGGTTGAAGTAAACCTAAAGCCATTCTTCAGTATATCATGAGACTCCATCATTTTAAATATGGTTCTATGAGCTCAGTTACCATATGGTCCTCTTTGATATGCTGAACACTTTGGAAAGTTTCATGTAGTACATAGCAAACCAGCATATCATTTACAGTTGATTATATGGTGATCATGGACATTTCTATAAAAAGTTGAGTAGCAGGCTTTTGAGGGCATAATCCCTTTGATAGAAGCACTCTTTGTTAGGGAAAATAAGATTTCACAGATGCTGTCTTCCCTAGGAATGTAAATGTGAAAACTAGTTCTGTTATTTCTCAGTTATTTACCTTGTTCCACAGACATTTCAAATGTCGAATGTATAAAAACTAAAACTTAATCAGCTAAAATCTCACTATGTCAGCCATTCATTTAAGCTGTGAAGCAAAAATACATTATGATCTACAATGGTTAACAAAAGCATACTCCTCTAATTATTCAATGAAGTTAATTATTCAGATGGTAGAGAATTACACATTCATCGATTTCATGCTCTATATATAGCACAATGGCAGAGGGTAAAAAAACCTTATCTAGTCAAAACCTAAGTTAAATTGTGCCTGCAAAACATACCCATTTTGGAATTTAGAAATGACCATAATAGGCCCAAAGGATTCCTCTTTTGCAAGGTACATGTGGTCCTCCACATCTGTGAACACAGTTGGTTCCATAAAAAAGCCTGTTTGGAAAAAAGAAGAAAAAAACATCAATTGTAGGTTGTCATTTCCAATTAATAGTTCTCTCATTTAATTACGTTGCAATTTTTTTCTTTCCCGCTGACTCAGTAAAACCAAGAAGGGTTTCATTTCTGTATGTGGTGTTGACATTCCTAGATTTTTATTTTTTAATGTCTTTTTATGAAAATTTCAACCCTATGTAAATGTAGAGAAAATAAGATGAATAATTAATGTAAATACTTATTTACATTATGTAAATAAGTAACATAAAAATTCTTATTTTGCTGCATTTGATTTATGTTTTTCCTTGCTGTAATATTTTAAAGCAAAATCCAGATATAATTTACACTCCTAAATATTTCAGTACAAATCTTTAAAAATTAAGGACATTTTCTTATATAACCACAATATAGTATCACGCCTAACAAAATAAACACTCATCTTTATTCATACTTTATATTTCGGTTTCTCTCTTTGTCTGGAAAATATCTTTTTTACAGTTGATTTGTTTGATTTAGGATTCAAATAAGTTCTTTTTTGTCTTTTTTTTTTTTCCGTGTCTGGCAATGGATCGCGACCCTCAGTGTCGCACCCGTACCGGACCGGGACCGGCAACGGGATCGCAACCCTCGGTGCCACGCCCGCACCTCGCTCAGCCAGTGAGCGGGAACCGGTCTGTATGTGGGATCTGAACCCTCGGCGGGAGCGCAGCCACGCTCCCAAGCGGTGCACTGTAGCAGTGCGCCACCGGGCCGGCCCCTAGGATTCAAATAAGTTCTACACATTATTTTTGGTTGTTAGATATATTTAGTGTCATCTTTTTTTTTTTTCTTTTTTTCCTTTTTCTCTTTTTACTGACTGGTAATGGGATCGCAAACCTCGGTGTCGCGCCTGTACCGGGGACCGGCAATGGGATCGCAACCCTCGGTGTTGTGCCCGCAGCGCGCTCAGCCAGTGAGCGGGAACCGGTCTCCACATGGGATCCGAACCCTCGGCGGGAGCGCCGCCACGCTCCCAAGCTGCGCACTCTCCAGTGCGCCACTGGGCCGGCCCTAGTGTCATCTTTTAATGTAGAAAAGTTCCTTCTTTTGCCCTCCCCTTATTTTTTCATGTCATTGACTTGATAAAGAGGCAAGGTCATTTGTCCTACAGAACATCTTATATTTTAGATTTGTCATTGCTTCCTTTGGGTAATATTTGTTTTTCTTTTTGTTTTTTTTTTTCAGTTTTCTTATAGTGATATAATGTGTATAACATAAAATTTACCATCTTAATCATTTTTAAGTGTACAGTTTAATGTTATTAAATACATTCATAATGTTGTACAACCTTTACCGCCATCTATCTCTATAATTCTTTTTGGCTTGTAAAGCCGAACCTCTGTACACATTTGGTACTGTATTTCTTAAAAGTGGAAAGTTTTTTGTTTTTGTTTTTGTTTTCCTTTTTGTCTTTTTTCGTGTCCGGCAACGGATCGCAACCCTCAGTGTTGCGCCCGTACCAGACCAGGACCGGCAACGGGATCGCAACCCTCGGTGCTGCGCCCACACCTCGCTCAGCCAGTGAGCGGGAACCGGTCCGTATGTGGGATCCGAACCCTCGGCAGGAGCGCTGCCGCGCTTCCCAAGCGGCGCACTGTAGCAGTGCGCCACCGGGCCGGCCCAAAAGTGGAAAGTTTGACCTAAAGATGTGATTAGATTAAGGTTAGGCTTTTTTGGCAAGAACACTTTATAGGTGGTACTGTGTATCACACATTTTATTTCAGGAGACACACAGTATCCAGTTGTTCCCCTTTCACTGATGCTCAGACTGCCCAGTGGGTTTAGGTGGTGACAACCTGACCCCTCCATTGTAAAGTTGTGTTTTTCCCCTCATGACTGGCAAGCAATCTTGGGCATGATACTTTGGTACCTTGCAAATACCAGGTCCCCATCAACCTTTCACCCCAAAACTTCAGCCTCCATTGACAATCATTGCCTGAATCAATTTTTTCATCAATTAGGGCATGCAAAATGATGATTTTTTTATCTATTCTATTTTTTTTCCTACATTAGCAGGTATTCTTCTGTAAAAGAGTCTCCTTTATCAGCTACTCACTTACCCAGAAATTCAGTTCCTATAGGAAATACAGGATAAATGTTAAATTTTTTTCTTATAATTGCCCATGTTCAGAGTAAGGTGTTAATGTAAAATCTATTTACAACAGTGGAAAATGAGTTTTTGTAGATAATTGTCTATCTCTCTTTTTGAGTATCATAACATTGAGCCATTCACATATTTCATTAAGAAGTCCTCTTTCAGGAATGAGTCCTTCCCAGGCCATGCTGGCTAGGATTGAATCTCACAATGCCAAGAATCAAGATCACCAGTGCCTGATAACACAGTTATCCATTACACTTGTTTACTGCACAGCTAAGGGCCTATCACATCTGTTTTATTTGATTTTCACAGACTTTAAAACAGGGTGTGCATATTTCTTCTCATCAACCGAGGCTTAGAAAAATTGTGTTGTCCAAGGTGACACAAGCAGGATCTAGAAATTAAATCTTCTGACCATATTATGCAACTATTTACTTTCGAGGTAAGATGGTGCTGCAATGAAAACTGATTCCATCCATTCCAACTTAAGAAGGCAGGTGCCCCATAAATCCCTTATGGAGGCAATCTTACCTGGCCTTTGGACTTGTCTTCCCCCATACACCAACGTGGCCCCCTCTTTCACTCCAGCTTCACAGTATTGCAGCAGCTTTTCCAGATGGGCCATATGATTTTGGGGGCCATGATCAGTAGATCTGTCAAGTGGATCACCAATTTTCATCTTTTTAATTTCTTCCACCTGTATGTTACCCAATCCACAAAACACAATTCAGTGTTAATAATAATAATTATGGGTACCTTGACTGAATTTCTACCATGTGTTGAGTGTTGTACTAAGCTATTTTTAGATGTGTTGTTGTTAGTCTTTACAACAGCACTGGAGGTAGGTATTTATTATTTCCATCTTACAGAAGAAGAAATTGAAGCCTGGAGAGGTTAAGTGATTGGCCCAAGTGCATACAACCACTAAATACTATACACTTTTTCTGACTTGAAAGCCTAACCAAGTTCTCTACCACTGTCTTCGAAAAGAACATAAGCTACATATGCTGTATTAAAATTATCCTGGGCTGGGGGCCACAGGACCCCCAGCCCAGGCCAGTCCCTGCCACCCAGAGAGGCCTGAGAGCCACCAGGCCCACAAGCCCTGAGCCAGCTGTACCAGAATAGGCAGATGCTGTGGGACCCTCAGCCCAGGCTAGTCCCCGCTGCCCAGAATTGGCAGTCCCTTCAGGATTCAGGCCAGACATCAGGGTGGAATGAGTGGACCGTAATACCCCCTGCCACAATGACTAAACACGAAAGGAAAGATATCAGAAATATGAAAAATCAAGAAAGTACATCACCACCAAAGGAAAATAATAAATCTCAAGCTCTAGATCCTCTAGAATAGGAAGTCCTAGAAATGACTGACAAGAAATTTCAAGCAACAATTCTAAGGAAACTAAATGAGATACAAGAAAACTCAGTTAGACAATACAGTGAAATGAGAATAAATATACAGGACCTGAAAGAAGAAATGTACAAGGAAATAAATGCCCTGAAAAAGAATGTAGCAGAGCTTGTGGAGCTGAAGGATTCATTGAACAAAATAAAAAACAGAACAGAGAGTCTAACCAGCAGGCTAGAACAAGCAGAAGAGAGAATTTCTGACCTTGAAGACAGGATGTTTGAATTAACACCAGCAGACCAGAAAAAAGAAAAAAAAAATTTAAAAATTGAAGAAAACCTAAGAGAGAAAACAGAAACCTTAAGCGTTCAAATATCTGAATCATGGGTATTCCAGAGGTGGAGGAAAAAGGAAATGGCATTGAAAACATATTCAATGAAATAATAGCATAAAACTTCCCAGGTATAGGGAAAGTCACAGATCTTCAGATTCATGAGGCCCAAAGATTCCTAAATGTATTCAACCCAAAAAGGTCCTCTCCAGGACATGCTGTAGTCAAACTGGCAAAACTCAAAGAGAAAGAGAGAATCTTAAAAGCTGCAAGAGAGAAGTGGCAAGTCACCTATAAGGGAGCTCCAATCAGACTAATATCAGACTTTTCATCAGAAACCCTAAAAGCCAGAAAAGAATGGGATGATATATTCAAAATACTAAAGGACAAAAATTGCCAGCCAAGAATACTTTACACAGCAAGGATATCCTTCCAAAATGAAGGGCAAATAGTATATTTCTCAAACAAACAGAAACTGTGGGAGTTTGCTACCACACAACCAGCCTTACAAGAAATTCTCAAGGGAGTACCGGGTTTGGTACCCGAAAAACAACCATCACTGCCATGAATACTCAAGAAAGAACAAAACCCACCAGTAAAACCAAAATGCTAAAAAATATAGAAAATATAGTTTATCTATCACCCCAAGAAACCAACAAACACAGAAGACAGACAAAATCAGAAAGAAAGGAACAAAAGATACTTAAGACATCTAAACAAAAATCAATAAAATGCTAGGAGTAAATCAACACCTTTCAATAATAACTCTAAAAGTAAAATGATTAAATTCCCCACTCAAAAGACACAGACTGACTGACTGGATTAAAAAGATGGACCCAACAATATGCTGCCTTCAAGAGACTCACCTCACCTGTAAAGACACACATAGACTAAGAGTGAAAGGATGGAAAAAAATATATCATGAAAATAGAAATGAAAAACAAGCTGGAGTAGCTGTTCTTATATCAGATAAAACAGACTTTAAACCAAAAATCATAAAAAGAGATAAGGCCACTTTATAATGGTAAAAGGATCTCTCCATCAAGAAGACATAACAATCATAAATATATATGCACCCAATGTTTGAGCAGCCAGATTTATAAAGCAAACACTATTAGATCTAAAGAATGACATAGACACTAACACCATAATAGCAGGGGACATGAACACCCCACTCTCATCATTGGACAGATCATCTAGGCAAAAAATCAGTAGAGAAACACAAGATCTAAACAACAGTTTTGACCAATTGGACTTGGCAGATATCTACAGAACATTCCATCCAACAACCTCAGAATATTCATTCTTCTCATCAGCACATGGAACATTCTCCAGGATAGACCACATGTTAGGTCACAAATCAAGTCTCAACAAATTCAAAAAATTTGGAATTATTCCATGTACTTTTTCAGATCACACTGGAATAAATTAGAAATCAATAACAAATGAAACTCTGGAAACTACAAAAACACATGGAAAT